CTCGTCGCGGCCCAGGGCCACCGTGGTCACCAGCGGATAGCGCTCGCTGCGCAGGAAGGCATAGATTCTTTCCGTGCCATCCAGGCCCGAGCGGAACGACGCCGTGCCCGACATCGCCCCCGCATAGTGGCGCAGGAAATTGGGCGACTGCGAGAAGTCCCGGCCCAGGTCCTGCTCACGGAAGGGGTGGCGCACCAGCAGTTGCCCGCCCGGCGTGCTCAGTGAAATGGCGCCCTGCTCGCCGATGTCGATCTTGCCGAAACAGCCGCAGGAAATTTTCCACACCCAGCGTCACCACGACCCACGCGCGGCAAACTGGCCCTCGCTGTCGGTATAGCGCCGGCTGATGGTGATCACCCATTCGCTTGTGGAGCGGCTGCGGATCGGCGGCCCGATGTAGATGCCTGACGACGGGTCGTCGCGGTGGTGCGTGAAGAAGTCGCGGTCCGCGCTTTGCGTTCCTGGGGGAAACGTCCCCTTGGACGACATCAGCCAGCGCCCCTGCGCGTCCACGACCAGCAGCTCGTTGAGCTGTTCAGCAACTGCTCCTGGCGGTTGACCAGATGCAGCACGCGCTCCAGGTGCGCGGCACCGGCGCCATCCAGCTCCAGCCTTTCGGCAATGCCCAGCAGCAGCATGGAGCTTTGGGTGATCACGCCTTCGGAATAGGTATTCAGCGTCTGCGCCAGATTGCGGTTGACGGTATCCACCTCGGCCAGCGTGCGCTGGCGTGCAGCCACAAACTGCCACACCGTGGCCGCCGATACCGACACGAACACCACGGCCAGCAGCCAGCCCACCAGGCGGGTATCGCGTTTGACGGGCCGACCGCTGCGGCTGCGGCAGGCCCTTGTCCACCAATCCCTCTTCGTCACATGCACCTGCGCCATCTCGGCAGTCTCGCCGCCGTCCGATCTTGGGGTTTTCTGCGTCCGGGTTCAACGCCAGTGCAGCTTCCTTCCGCAAGCGATTCCCGTCCTCGACCCAGGTCGAGCCGGAAAAACCCGCGAACCCGGTATTGTCCCCGGCTTCGGAAAAATCGGCCGGCAGGGTTGGGATTGGGGGGTGCTGCCGGCAGTTTCAGGCTGAATGCGGATGGCAGGCCTGTGATCACAGGCCTTATCGTCAAGGCATGGGTGATCAGCCGGGGCCGTCGCTCGCGGCAGCAAGAAGCGGCACCAAGACATCACCGATCGGGGTCGGAATCCCGCGCGCCCGGCCGCGGCGCGCGATAACGCCGTTGCGGATATCCCATTCGAGCGGACGGCCTGCTTCGCGATCCGCCAGTATGGACGTGCCCAGGTCGGCAGGGGATGCCTGGAACTTGTCGAGGATCGCCTGCGGGACCTCATCGCCCAGTTCAGCACCTTCGGCGCGTGCCACGGCCAGGCACTCCTGCAGGTAGTCCAGTGTGAGCTTGGAGATGTCGTGCCGGCCGTACATGCCCGAGCGGCGATGCGTGAGCGCCATGAGCCCGGCCGCCGCGTTCTGCAGCAGCTTTTGCCAGGCCAGAGATCTGAAATTCGAAACCAGGTCTACCAGGCACCGGGAGCCTTGCAGTGCCTGCGCAACCACGAGGGAGGCCGCCTCGTCAGGCAGGCTGATCCGAGCATCGCTGCGCAGGAGCACCGATCCATCGGATTGCGCCTGCGCAGGGAACCACACGACTGCAGGAACGACTCGCCCCTGAGGGCACAGCGCAGTGACACTCTCCAACTGCTCGCCCCGTTTTTGCAGGACACACACGACGGTTTGCGGGCCGCTCAACGCCGCAAGCCATTGCGCAGTGGCAGCGTTCTGAGTCGCTTTGACCGCGAGAAAAACGAGGTCCACCGGGCGTGCAATCTGTGCTGGATCCGTTCTCACCGGCCCGGGAACAACGATGCGAACACCGCTACCTTGCAGCACCAGGCTGTCACGCGGCGTACGGCCGCAAAGCATGGGCGTGCGGCCGACTTCGTGCAACGCAGCAGCGACGGTGGTCCGATCGCACCGGGCCCCAGGACAGCGATTCTTGTATGGACTTGTTGATTCACTGAAGCGGATTCCTCGAAACGGATGCTCGGTGCCGGCCTCGACACCTGAAAAGGACAATTATGGAGTGCCACGGGCGCAGTGGAGGGCTGCTCTTGGCTGTGCCTGCATAGGTGCAATGCATCTTGATAGTTTCTCAGTATTCATCCCGGCAAAATACACGTCAGTGGACTCTTTCATTGGGCATGCAATATGAGTTGACGAACATTGCAGTATTCCGTAACGATTGACGAATATCCGGCTTTGATATTCCGTGCCTTTTGGCGAATTGCTCGACCGCCGCTGTGTCAAAACGCGTAGTCTGGATGAAGTCCAGGGCTTCGGCATCCGTATTCAAAAACCGTGCGACCGGAGGAATGCTCAAAAGCCATTTCAGCAATCGGAGCGAAATATGATGCTTTGGGGACTTTATTCCAAGAGGTTGTGCCACCTCTGCCAGGAGTTCTCGCAAGTTGGGACTTTGGTCGTCAAGCGCCAGAAGCTCCTGACCGGCCATGGAAGGATCAAAAGCGCAAGCCGAAACCAGCTCGACCAGATAATCCACAGTGACCAATGGCAACCAGTGCTCTGCGCTACCGGGCACTGCAGCCAGTTTTCCCTGCGCCAGATTGCGTATCAGATCCACCAGTGGCTGGCTGCAAGGTATATGTCCCGTGCGGCTATGACCACAGACCGTTGCGGGGTGCACGACGGTCATTTTCCCTCCCTTGGCAGCCATGAACTCCAGGGTCGCGAAATGCGCCTCCAGTTTGCTCCCCTCGTAAGCGCCGACACGCCGATAGACGGCAGGCCAATGAGTCCTTTCCGGATGGCCGGGATCAATTCCGATGCGCTGCAGATGTTCATTGTTCTTCAGCATATAGCCGCCGATCATCACCAGCCGGCTATCTTGCTGCGCTGCCAACAACGCCACGCGCTTTGCACCTTCCACATTCACTGCACGCGAATGCTCCATTGAAAGGCCCCACGCGAAGTGGGCGCCCAGGTGGAACACAACTTCGGCCTGCCGCAAAGCCTCTCGATCGGAAAGACTCAAGCCGAGGCTCTCCTGCTCCAGATCGCCAGCCACGGCAAAGACCCGGTTTGCGACACCTCCCAGATTGTCGACCTGCTCCCGCAATTGCGCCAGGCGCTCCGGGCGACGCATCAGCACCCGAATCGTGTGACCTTTTGCGCTCAGGCATGACACCAGATGCTGGCCGATGAAGCCGGTCCCTCCCGTAACAAAGCACTCCACGCTCATCTTTCTGCTCCTTGGCACGATGAAAAATCGAGTGTAGACTGTCGACCCAACTCTATAGTCAAGCGTTTTTCTCATGAATATCGGCGAACTCGAGGTCCGCAGCGGCGCCAGCCGCCATACCCTGCGCTACTACGAGAAGATCGGCCTTATCGCACCATTGCGGCGAAACAACAATTACCGTGTTTACACACCACAAACCCTGCAGGATCTTGGATTTATCCAGCGCGCACAAAGCATGGGATTTTCTCTTGCGGAAATAGGCGAAATTCTGGACGCTCAGAGAAACAAGTCAATCGATTGTGCCGAGGGTGCCAAGTTGATTGAAAAGAAAATGCTGGAAATCAGAAAGAAAATCACTGAGCTCAAAAGCATTTATCGGTATTTGGACGAGGAGCGTGCAAATCTCGAGGCCAGTGCTGCCAAGCAACTTGAGCTTCAGCGACTCAACAACGCCTTGAAGTGAGCTGTCGGCATCCAGACAACAGCGGCAATCGCTGCATGGCTGCTCCCGGCATCACCCGAGTACATCCGCGCAGCCTGGACAGAAAACGCATCTGCCGCGCCAAGGCATGGCGCAGCCATTCATCCACGGCTATGCTCAATACCTTTGCCGTTGC